CGTACACAATATGTAATATTCATTGTTTTTTAAAAAAAATCACGTACAGATTTCTCTTTGTTACTATTTTATATGTATGGATTATATGTAGGTACCTATAGATTAGAAATCATTCTTTATTAATGAATGAACATGATCGTATATACTCGTAGGTATAGCATTGGCATAAAACAGGTGGTGGTCATTAGTTAATAGATATGTTTTATCACACGCCACTAAAATACCTTTCATATTATAAAATTATTTCATAGTTTAGCTTATAATATTTTAAAACGCGCTTAAGCCCAGTTCAGCGATGGTATCTCATAATCCTGTGCTTTCACAATGGAAGAATGGTCAGGAAATGACGAATACCCTTCCTCGACTACAGTCGACCTGTTTAGTTCACAGATTACACAAATGCCATTGTTACACTGATAACCTGATAACAATATTGAGTGCATTATTAGTGGAAATATTAGTGCAAATACCTATGCAGATTCTTAATCTTAGTTTTTGACCTCTCATCTTAGATTATATATAAGCTTTATCAAAATATTATAATGAATTTTGGCGAAAAAGAGTAAAGGAAATAAATTTTGCTAAAAAAGAGGTTTCATTCAATAAGGGGTTTTATTTTTAGGGCCACATTCATGATATTTCTTTTAAGCCAGTACCTATGCGTAACAAGAATAAACATGTTATAGAGCAATAATTATATAATATATAGAATTAATCTAATAAATTAAAAATTAATTAATAAGAAATAATCTTATATTTTGCAATCCGTACTTTCACGATAGATTTAATCGTAACCAAAATATATATTTTATTAAGTAGATGCATAAAGTAACAACGGGAGTAAATGTCAATTTTTTATATTTATTTATTTATTTATTGAACTACCAACAAAAGTTACAATATTATATTAATAAATTTTGAAAATTCGAAAATCGCTGGTTACAGAAATAGCGTTCACAAATTTGAACTATATTTTACAATTTATTTTCTGACTAAAATACATGATTTTGTTCCTTTCGTTTTTCAATAGCATTTAAAGACAAGTTTCAATTTTCAAACGGGTCACATTTAGTAAGTTAATACTTAGTCTTTTTCAATTAGCTTAGCTTAGTCTCTACGAGTATTAGGAATTTGGTACAAACATTGCATCTTAAAAAGTATATATTTTTATTAAAAAAAAAAAAAACAAAAGAAAAACTGGGTTACCAGTTAAAAAGTTAAACTCTTCGACATTAAGATTATTGTTTGTACGTATTTGGAAGATCTTTAGTTTTATAAGTTAATGTTTTATAATATAATTTTAATTTATTTAAATAAACTTGTTAGAACCACATTTTTTATTTATAAATAATAAGTAGCTACTTTATATATATTTAAGATCTTACAAATTCTTAAAGTGTGCATTTATTTTCCTAAATGACATTAGGCAGTCATCCGTTCCTTTTTAATTTAATATTTCTTGTATACTTTTATTTACTTTTAATTTAGTTTACTATCAAAGCATTTTCTTGTAATTTCTATTGCATGACATTTTTATTGTTTTTTTTTATTAATTGTTTTTTTTTCTTTAATGGCTTAGAGTTAAGTAAACAGACGCAAAATATTCTGCCAGTAAATTCTGACACTAATTGTATATTATACCTACGAATAAATAATTATTTATTCGTAGTATATTACATAGGTATTTAATAATGACTGTTAATCAACGTGACTTAAGCAAAAAACAAATAATAAAGCTTAAAATAACACCAGGATTATTTTTAAAAACTTCGAAGATAAAAGGTATGGTTTATAAATAAACACTTTCAAGGAAAAACTTAATAAGTGTTTGTTCATTCAAAAGATGATTCATTTGGCGCAAATCAGTTTGTTGAAAGCTTTAGCGGCGTGGGAACATTTAAATATGTTTATAGGAAACTCTTTTGTAGTATTGATGATAATCGGTTTCGAATGGGCCTGATTATACTTTATCAGGTGTTAGGTAGGTTTTTGCTTCACTATCCACTTGCAGCGAGCTGTATTTATATAAGTGCTTATCTACATAATTGGTTAAGTGAATCTGAATATTTAAAACGTTTTAAAATATTTAATGTTTTAACTATAGTTAATCAATAATGATATTAAAATTGCAATACTGAGGCTAAAATTCAAAAATATATTTAGTAAGAGTTTATTAATTCAAGATTTTGTAGTATCTAGGTGAAAAGTGATATTATTACGAGTAAAAATACTATACTTGACATTTAAAAAGTTGAGTTTCTCTCTGGCTCCTTTTGGCAGATCTGCATTCCGATCCATTGGTAGCTGCTTTCCTAACTCTCTTCACATTAAGTTAAAGATCGTGAAATGCTTCTAAAAGCCTAATTGAAAAGAAAATGACGATAAAATATAAATGTAACGAATATTATATTATTTTTTATATGAAGTTTAATATAATATAAGCTTTTAACGTTGATTAGGTAAACAAAAATATCTGTGAAGTAAGCAATAGTAGTTGACAGCAAAACGCGCGTGACCTTTTCACCTACTTGATCGATTGAAAGAAAACTTAACTATTTATTGATTTTAATTAATTTAAACTCTTTTTTAGTCTTGACATTCAGATAAACACAACATGGATTAAAAAAGTATAAAAAAGTTATTCAAAAAAGTATTGATGATGAATCAATATAAACTTATTATATATATTAACTTATTATTAACTTATTATATATATATACCTACCAAGTCCTATTTTCTATAATAGCCCTCCTCTAAATATATTTTCTGTAATGTAGAAATCCTGTGGCCTTGATTGATAGTTGTATAGTCTCATTGTGTTACAATCTATACATATAAATTATAATAAAATAGTAACTTAGCGAAATCTGTACATGAAATATTTTGAAAAACAATGACCGTAACCTATTGTACAGAATATATAATATATTTTTTTGTCTGTCTGTATGTCTGTTTGTGACAAAATTTTGCGTAGTGATAACTTATTGTATTGTATATTGAACTCGTTTTCCGTACTTTAGACTCGTATTTGGTCCGTTAGTGATTAACTATGTGTTGTGGTATATTAACTTATTACTCGGGTCAACATTTAGGATACCTTTTACTACAGGAAAATCTTTCACTCCCACGGGAAACACAATAACTAGTTCTATGGAGTCGTTCTTATTAAATTTACCCTATCTAACGCTGGCTATATCTTAAGAGATAAATTAAAAGAATTTACTAGCGCTCCAACGATCGCAAACATGCCGGCATGGCAGTTAACAATTGATTTCCCGGAAACTAGCCACGAAGGTGCTAGAAAATTGTAGGTATTAATAAAAGCCTACATCAAAATCTGCCATAGCATAAGTCTTTTTTCTAAGGTAAAACGTACCTATCTAGGGACGCATCCGAACGAAGCGAGTGTAAGTCACTAGTTTAAAATAATTACCATTTTTTATGCTTTTTTGCTCACTGCTACTAGGTATACTTACCTATCGAATTTCAGGATAGGTCTCGAGAAAAAGAAAAGTACTAATTAGGTTTAAAATTTAAAAAAAAAATTGTGTTGAGTAGGTACCTACTAACTAAACTGATCGTAAGTGTTAAATTTAAAATTAACACGTCCAGGTAAATTTCTAAGAAGTTAATTAAAATTCTAAGAAATCTATTGTTCATTGATACGCCGGCGTGTCCGCGGTCGTGGAGGAATTATAGTGCATTACCACTAATAAAACTAAATGATTGTATAAAAATTATAGGTACCATATACTTTGTACTTACCCGAAACTTATCAGCTCCAATGTATGATATTATTATCATTAGTGAAATATTTTTATTTAATTACTGCATTTAAAATAACAATAGCTAGGTGTACTTCATTCTTAGATATTGCTTAAAATTTTAACGTAAATAACAGAAAATAAAACCTAAATCTTAACTTGAATAAAATACTTTCTTAGATTTACTTGAATTTATTTGAATAATAGGTATATAATTAACTTACAATATAGGTACCGATACCAAAATTGTTGCTTCATATAATTCCATGAAGCCCTACTAATGTAGTAAATATTAATTAATAATGGCTCATTCTGTTAAAAAATCATAATAATCATAATTTGTAAATGTCTTTCCATTAGTTTTCTAGTATTGTTCCAATAAAAAATGTCAAAAAGTCAATAAAGAGCTTTTTAAAGCTTTTGTTTTGTGTAACTTCGAATTTAGTTAAACATAATCTATTTTTAAGTAATTATTACTAGGTAGTTTTTTTAATATTACTTAGTATTCAACACCTCCAGATAAATTTCTAAGAAATTAATTAAATTTCTAAGAAATCTATTGTTAACTGACACGCCGGCGTGTTTGCGGTCGTGGAGGGATTAAAAAAAATAGAATAATAAAACCATACAGGTAAATAGGTACCTAAGTATAGGTAGGTATAATATGAAAATAACTTAATGGGGATTGGCACTTATTAAAAGATGTTTTGATTTATAATTTCTATTTATTGGAATTTTATAGACTTATATTCTAGCTAACCCGACTGTCGCTAGTAACTAAACAACATTATGTTCAGGTTTCTATAACAACGATGAGTAGATAGTTTAACTTTACCTATATACAAATAGCTATATGAATATATCTACAGTCACTTGGTCGTTTTTCAGACTTTAAAATTAATATTATTTACTATTAAGTAGGTGTATAGATCACGTTTATACATACATAGGTCTAACAATAAATTTACAATAATTTACATTTTTGAACAATAGGAAATTAAAGATTATAAAATACTCGACTTACACGTCAAAAAAGACTTCAACGCGCTCAAAGTGCGTAAAAAGTAAGTTTGATAAAAAAGAAACAGTTTTAGAAAGAAACTTTAAGGAGCGGAGTAAAGACACTGAATTTATCCACTACTTGACATATGAACGATAATAATAATACTGAGTATTCACTATTCACATTTGTACAGGCACGACATCCGTCGTAAATATGTATTGATTCACAATTTAAGTGTCCGGTGGGCGTTGTTGTTCTGGAGGGCTTGGAGGAGCGGGCGAGTGAGGCGTCACAGCGTGTCTGCGGAGTTGTTGCAGGAGAGCAGGGTTGATAGCCGGCCACCACCCGCCCAGCAGCGGATAGTGTGCCGCCGGCGTCAGCGGCACGCGCGCCTCCTCCTCTGTCGACCGTACCTCCTCCTGGTCACTGGTCACCACGTCTATGTCCTCTTCTACTTCCTCCTCTCCACTACTGTCCCTGCGCTCACGTTTCTCCGGCATCTCGTCAGGAGCGAGCAAGGACGCTACATCAAACTGTCTCTTCCTTGTCTGAGTGTTCGCAGGAACGCGGCCACTCCAAAAAGGCAACGGCAAAGTAGTCGGTGGTGGTGACTGCGGCGGCGGTGATGATGAATCCTCGCCATCATCATCCACAGCCAATCCCATATGTTTCCGTACTTTTCGTTGTGCCTTACGTCTCCTAAAATCACCCTTCCGAAAGTCCTCAATATTAGCCGGGTGAATTGCCCAGTAGTGGCCCTTTCCATTCGCCGATCGCCCCGCTTTGACAAAGCAATCGTTTAGCGATAAATTATGGCGAATAGAATTCCTCCAGCCAGGCCCGCGCGTTCTGAAGTACGGGTAGTTATCTAATATATGTTGATATATGTCGGATAACACTAGTTTTCTTTCCGGCGAGCTGAGTATCGCCATGGCTATGAGACCAATGTAGCTGTGCTGTGGTTTGGGTTCTTCGGGTTGAAGAACGCGATGCTGGAGCAGTGACATTGAGAGGGCGAGACGAGGCGCGTACGGTCCATAGCAGTGGCCGACGGCTGGCGGGTATAGGCGCAGTCGTTCAGCCACAGCATAGTTGTACAGTTGGAGACGGTAGTGATCTATCGCGGCGGCGGTGACAGCGGGCGCGTCTTTGGCGAGCGGCCAGGAAGGTCCGTCGGCTCCGCTACACATGATCGCGGCGGCGGTCCGGGCGCGAGTGAGCGGCAGTCGGCGGGCGGCGGCCCAGCACCACCCGGCGCACGCCGCCAGCCAATCACCGCTCGCCCGCTCCTTGTATACGTGTTTTTGTTTAGCGACGCCCCACTCCGCCAGCTTTGCGACTCCACGAGCCCTGCCTTGAGCCCGCGGTACAGATCGCAGGTAAACAGTGATTTATGAGACGTGAACTAATAAAATCGTATTACATCGTTATATTGTTACAGTTGTAAAGTTTTTTTCCTGCTTATGTATAATATAAAGTTAGAAACGTTTATCGAGACTGTAATTCAGTATTTGCTATCTATGTGATTCTATATACTTACTAGGAAGCTACCTAAGACTGCTTAATTTTTACTTGTTAAATATATTATTTATATTTGATTAGACAGTAAAATCGTCATTTATTCGTCCTATATGTTTCTCTTTCTGATATTTAAATACACTTTGAGTAAGACTAAATACTTTAAGTGAAAATAAATCATTTAAGTGTAAATAGGTACTTATCCTAAATACATGGTATTTTTGTGAAGAAAATGTTCATACGTAACGATAAAACTTATTCATATTTTTCATATTGAAGTTTACATAGTAACCAAAAAAAACATATTTTTCTAAAAGACAAAACAAAAAATTAAAAAATAAAATAAAATATTGGTTCAAAAGTCCTATATTATCTCACTGTCTCACGTAATAAAATATAACAAATAAATATGAACATTTAAGTATTTTTATTTATTTGCTGTCTGTCCTTTCAAAACCGTTACAAATGACAACTTCGTAGCGAGTACTTCCCTGTTATTTTGGAGTTATCACAACAAGCAACAACACATTACTTCTCAGGAGGTACGAGGGAGCGAGATGGGGTTATGAATGTACGCTTTTCCTAATAAGAGTGATAGGGACGGAACAATGTGCAACAGTTTCACATGTCGCGGTAAACGACTGTGATACAGCTTACCCTTAACGAATGGTATTTAAAACTAAGCTCTATCATGTTAAATTAAGGTTTATTTTGATTTACTTTGTCGCAAATTTAACGCCGTGATGAATGAGAAAGGAAAATAAAGAGATTTAGCCGCGAGTGCGAGTAGGGTAGCAACAGATATCGACGAGACGCCGCAGGCTAACAATGCAGTTGCCGCCCATTTAAATACGCCATTTTGTTTACTGTCTCCACGCTTTTGTTGGGGAAAGCAATGTTTCAGAATAAAGAAATTACAGGAAATTTTACTTGCTTATATCGGAGCTGGAGTTTAGGAATGTTTTAAATTTGGATCTTTTTATTTACCTACTTTTAAGTCACATAGTATTTGATTCTTGCGACAATTGTTATATTGCAAACTTATATTATTATTATCTTTAAGATTTTAGAAAAAAAATATTCGTTTATATATGAATATTTAATAGGCAGTGGTAGTCCAGTGGTACCGTACTTGAAACACCGAGTGAAGCGGTGGAAGGCATTTCTAACATGATTACCACTTGCCTTATAGTGAAGGAAAATATCGTGAGGAAACCTGCATGTCTGAGATAACTTAGTAAGTTTTCGAAAGACATGTGAAGTCCGCCAGCCTGCACTTGGCCAGCGTGGTGGACTATGGCCTGATCCCCCTCGTATTGAAGAGAGATCCGTGCCCAGCAGTGGAAAGTAAAAAAAAGGCTGCATACATATAAAACCGCTATTAAAAATTCTTACAATGTACTTACTAACTTTTTACTTTAGGTATTCGTAATAGGCACTAAAATATACCTGAGTTAGTTTAAGAGTTCCTGCGCAAACAAACATATATATTTATACATACTTATGTAAGTACTTAATAGAATAAACATTTGAAAACTCAGTTTTACATATTGTTTTTTACTTTCCCAATATGCATCTGCGTTATCTCTCGGGGGATGGACAGGAAGAATAGTTACCCTCTCCACTAAACTGAAGATCTATTTCCGCTATTGATGCATTTTGTCTTAACCCGGTCTGGATAAACGTCAAAAAAGTTCCTTAAGTGTGTCGGACACGTAATCTCTTGTTTAAATGGAAAACAATATTTTAATTATTATAAAATAATTGAATCAAGGTATACCTATATGCGAAAATACATATTTCAATGTTCGAAAAATCAATAGGTAGAGGTTTCTATGAGATATTTAAAATTGAGATACTATACCTAACCATTATAAATAAATAAATATGTTGAGATATTAACACACACCACCATCTAGTTCCATGGTCAGGTACGAGGCTTGTGTTATGGATACCAGATAGTTGAGACATTACACATATTATATAACACATATTATGTAACTTTGTTAAATATGTAGGTACATAAATATTATAAATATAAACACTCATGACTGGAGTATAAACATTTGTGCTCATCACACAAATGAATGCCACCAGCAGGACTCGAACACGCGACCGTTGGCACTACAAGTACGGTCACTACAAACTGAGACAAATGTGTGGTCTTATTTAACCCCCGACGCAATAAGAGGGGTGTTATAAGTTTGACTTGTCTTTCTGTTTGTGTGTGTGTGTGTGTGTGTCTGTGGCATAGTAGCTCTCAAACGGATGGACCGATTTCGATGCGGTTTGTTTTCATTTAAAAGCCAGTTTCCTTACGGTGGTTCTGAGCTATATTTGGTTATATCGGTTAAGCAGTGTAAGAGTAACATCAGGCTATCAGATCTTTTCCAAAATGATGTAAGGCATTTTGACGTATGATTACTCGATTAAGTGCTTCATGAGTAATCGTTAAATGATAACTAATTTGCGTAGGGGGGTTTTAATTTATACTTATATTAATATTACATTAATCATATTATTTAAATCAATTTAGTGGATAGGTACCTACCTGCCTAGGTGCTACGATCGTTACAATACACCTACGCATGTATCTACATACAATATGCGTGTTTAAATAAATTTATGCGGGCAAAAGTGAATCGACTGTGACGGCATCACACAAATTGTAGCGGATAAAACAAACGAGCTGTTGAACGAAAAACAATTGCCGCGTACACCGCCGCGCCCGCACTCGAATGCTAATTCGACCATGTGGAAATACTGTGATAGCTATGTCTACTAACAGTCAATCTAGTACTGCTGGTAAAGTTACGGTTTATTGTTCTGTTGGCGTGACTGAAGGAAACAGATTCGATTTTCGCACGAGGCAAATTAATGTCTATCAAGAATCTCCTTAATCTATAGACTTTTATAAATAGAAGAAAAGCCATGCAGTTGCTAGGATGCTACCCATTTTGTTACAATATATAGGTAGGTATAAAGGAGCTATCGAGTATCAAGCGGCTTTTCGTCCCCTTCTATGCGATCTCGTGTAAAATTAGTGACGTTTACCTAAATTGTCAAAAGCTTAGAAATACATACAAAGTTTTACCTTAAGTCACCTATTCGAATATTCTAATCGATTTACTTTATCCAAGATGTAAGATAACATAAAAATATTTAACACATACATTTAAAGTATACAAAATATTTAAAAATAATCCAGGATTTTCAAATAACTATATATATATATATATATATATATATATATATATATATATATATATATATATATGTATTTTGTCTTTAAATACGTAAACTTTAAATTTATCGCATCTTATATTTTACAACTCGGGCACTTACATTATTCATACAATGTTCCGAAGTAAGCGTTCGCATAATTTGTGTTTACATAATTTTCAGAGATTCGAACTGGAACGGTTAATTTATGCTGATTGATTTTATAGCAAAACGGTCTGTTTCATTGTTGTTCTAATTGCCCGCAAGATGAAGGCGTGACGCCCCGCCCACCGTTCGAGCGCTTTGTGCACGACTGTACTCAATAAATTCATTTGTTCCACAGTTTATTTTATGTTTGCTTTGTTTATGTAACTCTAGCTAGCGGGGTAGTGTGGATGGGGATAGGCACATCGCACCTGGCGTTGAGGATACCTACCATTTTGTTATGTTTAGTTAAATAATATATTATAGTAATATTTAAATATTACTTAAATATTACTATAAAGTATTATTAATTGAAGCAGTTATTTCAAATTTATTATAAAACATAACTCGTATGGCTACAACGTGATAGGGTGATGTTATGACTTGATTCACACTCATCTATATATATTTTTTTTCTAAATAGTGAAAATGCCTTACATTTATTAGTTATTATGTAAGTAGGTTAACCTACATAAATAGCTACTGTTTGTCTCTTCAAATATACAAAAATGGAAGGCTGTATACAACACCACCTACGCACACTAATATATGTATAGCTATAGGTATACGAGTATGTAGATTATTATACGAAACTTCTATTCCGAGCCTAAACAAATATTTGGTTCTAACAAAAATCGCAGGTACCTCTCACACTACAGTGCACAGATCTCTTTGTAACTTGCTATATATCTGATAGTGACTGCGAGTTTAAATAATTAATAACACGTTATACCTATTGTATTGGACTAGTACTATAATCAAAGCGAATGTTTGTATCCGTGTGCGATATGTATGTAGGTAGGTGCATGTGTGTGGAGGTTTCCTACTAATTTGGCTGAACTAATTTGGGTGAAATCTAGTTCATACATAGATAGATTATGACCTGGAGTAACACTTTAATAACACTTTTTTATAACACTTTATTGCACCCGAAAATTGTACATTAAAAAAATATAAGTAAAAGAGATGTGTAAAGGCGGCCTTATCACCAAAAGCGATCTCTTACAAGCAACCGAAAGAAAAGGATACAAGAAAATAAATGAGATACTAATGTTATTGAACTAAAAACTTATACGAGCAAAGCAAGGATAAGTCGCTTGTAAGTACTAATATTAGAATTTTATCTACCAACAAATTATAAGCTAATTCAAACAGCCAATTCACAGTTGATAAAAATTAAAAACCCTTCCACGATGTCTGTGCAACTACAAAATATAAACTCAAGGATGTAAATAAATAATAACCAAATGAAAGCTCCCCATTTTGTCAATCAGAATTCGTAAAAAATATTTAAGCATCGCGACGGCAAATAACTTTTGTAGCCATTTAGCGCCCGTATTGAATTAGAGACTTTGTGTGGAAAACTGTTCGCAAAATATTTAGGCGTCACAAAGGAGGTATTACGAGGCGAGGGATGGTAATTTTATGTAAATCGACCGCCGTCGGCAAGACGAGTTCGTCCGCGGTTTCTGAATTTGTTTATGTTTTAAACAACTTCGGTGTTCATCTCTCGACTATCTTTACATTTTTATGAGAAAAAATATCGCAGAGAAAATCTTTTTAATTATTAACAGGAAGATATAACTTGGGGTTTTCTTTTTAAAATTAAAAGAACTCTATTACGCAAATCAAAGTACAATAGATAATATTTTTTATATTTTTAGACGTAAAGTAGGTACCTAATATTCCATTAAATGTTAATATCTCTAAAACACATAAAAATCTAAAAAACGTTTCTTATCTTAAACACAATCGCTTAGGTACATGAAATTAAGACTGATTTCTATTAGAAAGACAAATATACCTATGAATTGATAAATGATTTTGTTGGTAGTTCAATACATACAACCTATATGTAAGTCTGTATATTTAGTCATAGGATGGGATCCACACACTTAGGTACTTGATAAAGATTTTAATATGAAATCTTCACAATTCTGTTACATTAGCCATAATATTAAAACAGTTATTTTATATTTTTAAAATAACTGGAGTTTATTAAATAAGGATAAGATATATATATATATATATATATATATATATATATATATATATATATATATATAAGTATATATATATAAATTTAGGTATTTATTATGTTACTGTTGTAAATATACACAAAATAAAAGTTTTTTTAATAACACAATTTTTATTTACAAAATGAAACCTTTGAACTGAATTCATTATAATGTAGGTTTAGGTACAAATACTCTGTTTTCCAGTCCAGTTTAAAAGGGGACAGAAACGAAAGGCAGGCGGCTAATTAGGACGGCTTCTCCCGTCTGTAAACTACGAGTATAACTATATCTATAGAACTTATAAAGCTCGCTACTACGTAGAAAGGCTGTGAGTATAACACAATGTCTACTTATGTTGATTTTATAAAAACATTAATAAAAGTATCTACTAATAATAAAAATAATTTTATTCCGAAACGAGATATAGCATATTCACGTAAAAAAGTAAATTAAAAAAAAAATTAAAACATTATATATACCCACCCATACACTTTACCATTTTATTTTCAACTTAATTCATTTTTTTATTTATAACTCTTAATATATTTCAATAGTTTCAATAAATCTGATTACCTATACCAAATATTAGCTCTTTCAAAGCGTAGCGAACAAAAACACCCATATTAATATAATTAATGACTTTGCTTATCTATAGGTACCTATTATAGAATAGCCTCATATGAGACTAAATTTTAGGGAATAGCTATTTTTACTAATAAAGATAGATGAGAGTATCTTGGGAAACCGAGTGAAGCGAGTTCAAATCCCGGGTCTCGCACCTCTGATATTTTCATGTACCAATCATTTCTAACATGATTACCACTTGTCTTAACGGTGAAGGAAAACATCATGAGGAAACCTGCATGTCCCGTAAGAACCTAGCAAGTTTTCAAAAGACATGTGAAGTCCGCCAACCTGCACTTGGCCAGGGTGGTGGGCTATGGCCTGATTCCCCTCCTATGGGAGGCCCGTGCCCAGCAATGGGACGTTAAATGGGCTGAGTACAATTAGAAAGTATTTTATTACCCTGGTTACCTATTTAAATATAAAATTACATGTAATAAATGTAACATATTACAAATTATGACATCTCGTTATCTTGAATGTATCTTAAATTCAGTGGCAAACGTATCTATAATCTGTTCTTATAGATAAAGAGAAGATATAAAAAATATTTATTGTGTTTACACAAACGTAGGTGGTAATCCGAGTAAACGCTTACTTATTTAAAGTCACAAGGAAAGGGGCTTTTGTTGGCAGGGTTTGAAAAAACGTGATAATATTATTGGGTTCTAATTTCATTTATGCTTTAATCGCGTCTGTATAAAAGTGTCAAAGCTCTGATAAAGGTGCTCAGCTCGCATTGAGTAGTGAATGGGATAGGCGCTTGAGGTGTTGCGTTACGAGCTTCATAAAAATTTACATTTTATATAAAAATAAACCGTATTTATATATCTTTACGAGTCATTTTGATTTAGTTCTAATAAACCGATCGAAAATCTCGGTCTAATAAAATAAGGATGATTGTTCAAGTGTCGTAATGGACTTGATATATCATTGTATTTTTTTGGTGCGGTTTAAGTTCCGAGTAGAACTTTTATTGGCCGTGCAGTTTCAAGAGGTCGTTATGTTGGCAACAATATTTATTTATCTTTCAAATATGGCTTTAGAAAACTTATCAAAAAGTATATTTCTTTATAAATACGCATTATTTATATTGTAAAGTTTTTGCACGTATTATAAATTCATAATAAAAATACTGCTTCGTAATAAATAGATTTTACTGAAACAAAAATTATGTTTTAAATAATTAGCTTTCATCTTAAAACTTTTGTAGTTACCTTACGCCTATTACAAGTTCGTACGTACATTTACAATAGGTATCTCAAAGTAGAATCTGGGTCATATTTTAAATAAAAACTTATACCTATCCATGCACACAAAACTATCGTGCCTATCGCGACTTTGTTGCTTTTTTATTTTGCAATTTTCCGAATCTTTATCCCTTAAAGAGTTTTTCTATTAGTTATAAGAGGAGTCTTTGACAATGCATAATGTTTCAATAGTCGTAGACGTTTATATCTAAACTAGCGACTCACCATCGCTTCGCTTGGGTTCGTCCCTAGCTTGCTTCGAGATACAAACTTTTATCCCCCTTTTCACCCCTTTAACGAATGTTTTTCTGTATAAAAACTATCCTATGTCTTTTCCAGGGTCTCAAACTATCGTCTTACCAAATTTTATATAAATCGGTTCAGTAGATCCAGAGACTACCCCCTACAACGTCACAAGCTCACAATCTCATAAACTTACAAACTTTACGTCTATAACATTATGTTAGTATATAAATTAATGAAAATGTTTAAGATAATATCAACACGATGACTATTAACTCATGAATCTGAATGAATGAGATTGAATTAACCATACAATTATTACAGCGTGTTGCGGCGGATTAAGGGATGTTAAGTGGATTATGACTCCCCTATTCCTTAAAGCTAGTGTCCACATACATTGTACCGTATAAACGAATCTATAAAATAATATAAACTTACGGTAAAAGGGTAAAATATCCAAAAGCTCACTGGATTTTCTATATCCGGAAAAGCTGAAATTTTTAGAGAACTAATTTCTGAATTTCGCGAAAAGCTTTTAAATATTATAAAAGAAATCAACAAATCGTAAATAATTATTATAATAAATATACCTATAATAAGAATAGATACATATTTAAAGATGTTTGTACGGTGTACCAAGTATTCATGAATACAACAATGCAGTAGCATGTTAGGTCTCTACACAGTGCCGACTTTAGGGGGGAGGGGGGGGGGGGCGACCGGGGCGGCTGCCCGGGGCGCCAGGTTAAACAGGGCGCCGCGCGCGCCAGCTCAACTTAGCCAATTAATTTGAATACTTATTTTTATTGATCTAAAGGAAAACTAGACTCAGCGTTTTATCGTATCTGTCACTAAATAATTCTACATACACGTTTTTTAATTGTAATGAAATAAGTATACCTAAAAGGGCGCCAATGGCAGGACTCGCTCGGGGCGCCCAGATGGCTAAGGCCGGTCCTGTCTCTACATACTGTAAGGTTGTATGGTTTTTAC